GGGGGGGACTATCGCGGGCGAGGGGCGCGCGGGGTGTTGGCACAAGTGCGCGCGCGGTGGCCCAGGACGCCGGCAGCGACCCCGGGTGCTGCTGTGCTGTGCACCTTGCCGCACAGGATACGGGTGTCGTCCGGGGCCACCTGCGCGTCACCTGAGCCCCTTGAGCTGAGCCTGAGCCGACCCGACGCGCACAGGCGATCCATTCATAGGAGAGAGAGAGCCTTTCCACCCCGCAGCGGGGGGCGGGTAACGAAGGACTGGGTGGAGGCAAGGGGCGCGGGGTCGACGCACCTGCGACCGGCGCGACACCGCGCGATGCACTACTGCTCGGCGAGGAGGAGGAGGAGGAGGTGGACGGGGAGGCGGAGGTGCCGATGAAACGTGACCCGACATCTGGGGCTCATTTTGCATGGCCGATCGCGACCATCACGTGACCGTTTTTTTCTGGGCGCCTCATCAGCTGAGCAGGTGCCGGCGGCGCGCCTACGCCCACACGTATCCGCACGCTCACACACACACACACACACACACACACACACACACACACACACACACACGCGCCCGCGAGTACAGCCGGCTACTCCATATTTTAATTAGCACGTCCCGCGCGGTACGTGTCAAACGGCGCACACCCCGCCGCGCCACGCCACGCCGCGTCGCCTGGCACACGTTTTTCACTTGCCGCCGCCGCCGCTCAGCGCCGAAACCAGCCGGCACGAAACTTGGCGAGAGGGCTTCTGGCTTATTACAGCCCAATCAGCCAGCAATACTATTATTAGTAAATCCCCATTAGCGCGGGTCCGTGTCAGAGTTAGGCGTGACTAACGCCCATGCGAGAGCCCCGTCCGTTTGAACTTGAGGACCCCTCATCAGGAGCAGCCTCGCAATGTCCTCGCGGCTGCGTCCGTTTGTAGGGACGGACGGAGGGACGGACGACGGCGGACGGGCTCCACAGCGGGATGCATTTAAGCACCCAGCAGCGCCGTGTCCTTGATCCCTGCCCTCCGGTCTGCAAGTGCGGCTGAGTATGGCGCGAGCCCAGCCGCGTGAGCCGCACGGAAGTGTACGGATCTTTATTCATGTTCGGCAAGGATCGCGCCGGTGTGCTGAGCCATGCTGAGCTGCTGACGCTGCTCGTAACTACTGTCCTCCTGGGCGCGCCGCACTCTACCGAACTCAACCTCCATCAGCCGCTCCGCGGTGCTCCTCCTGGCGCGCTGCCCCCGGGTGTGGTGCCCTGCGGTGCCCGGTGGTGCTCTGCCGGAGAGGCTGTGAGATTGGCCATCAGCACCACGAGCTTTGGCGGGCGAGCGAGCTGAGCGGCAGGCGCACCGGCGGGCAGCCGGGCATCGGTCTTACTCCGTATACGTGTTGCTTTTATCTGTCTGCTGCACACGGCTGCCGCTGCAATGGCATGGCTCTCCGCGCGTGAAATTGACGGGCGGCAGCAGCGCGGCGTGGCGTGGCGTGGCGAGGGTAATCAGAAGGTGGGTGGTCCGGGTCCGTCACCGGCAGCGCCCGGCCCAGCCCGACCAGCGGGGGGCGGGAACGGGGAGGTGAACGAGGGCGTCGTCGTCGTCGACGACGACGGTCTGGCTGTTCCTTTGCACGAGAGCAGCCTTGTGACCTGCCAGGGACTTGCATCCTCTCCCGCCCCGCCCCGCCCCGCCACACCGCGTGTTGTGACGCCCGCACTTGGAGGTGACTGACGCACGCTCGACTCCCGACGCCCCTGCGCTCCCTCCCCTCACTCTGTGATCTGCCGAACGCAGCTGCAGAGAGTCGTTTCCCAGGCGTCGCACCGGGCGGAACGGGCGACGGCCAGAGGGGGGGGGAGGGGGGTACGGAAGTGGTAGGCACGATGGGAACGCGTCGCGGGGGATGGAAGTGTGCGGCTATGGCAGCGGTTCCCAAACTAGGGGTCGCGACCCCAGATGGGGTCGCGGGGAAAAATTTTGGGGTCGCGG